TACTTTTTCCTGCAGATATCACGTTTTTTCCGCGGCCTCTCCTTTTTGGCTCAGAAGCAACCCTGTGGTCATGCATTCTTCATCTGTACTGTCTGAGTCTACTGGATACTTTGCTATCTTTTGTGCATACTGCATGCTTTATTTCGACCCGGCATTCGTATAATGAATAAGGGTCTTGATTGGGTAGGCGAGTATATCAGGTCAAAAGACACGCAACGTTTTGGAACGTGATACGGATTGAATCGCACGTGAGTTGTCTGGCGACTTTGAAGAAACCCCGTCTGGGTCTTTGCTTGATCACAGCAACCCCTAGTCGCCGTTTGACACTCGCCTATGATCCGCTGGACGTCTGTCTGCGACTCGAACGGATCAGACATACAAACTAGTCAATGAGTTCGTTGAGTTAGCGTTTCTATAGAATTGGGGGAGGCATATTAGTTTGCATCCATCTTAGGAAAAAAACGAACTAAAACTTGTCAGTAGCATGGAAACCAAGAACGCAAGCCATACTTTCAAGCTAGTTTGATGATTTCGCTCTGCATTCACTGTTTTACCATTAAGACCATAATTTCACAAAACAATAGGGCTTAGTTAAATTGAAGACCACGTATGTGGCTGTTGTGGGATTTCGCTCTAGTTCCCCTTTGAATAATCTTATTGGTAGTGTCCAAGAATACACATCGCTCTGTAATATTTTATACGTCTCAATCTTTGTAGGTTGAACAGAAAAGTCTCGTACTCTGGCCTATATTTCACGTCCTGCTCAGTTCCAAAGCAGATCCTGTGCACATTTTTTCCGGCCGTGATCACTTGCTAGGTCTTGTCTATCCGCCTTATCGTTCACTGGTGTTTCTCCTCATGTGTTTCGCTAACCAGAGACTTAATTCTCACCCGGGCATTGATTCCCTCGACTTGATTTGATGACTCTTCCTGATGTACTTTGGATAATGCAATTCGCTCTTCGTCCCAATTACAGAGTTACGCTTTTAGTGATTTACCAATCATATTAATTTTCTTACTGCTTGGCCAGCATCTCGTTTTTTATTGCTTTCTGGTTGTGCTTTTGATGCTCTTTTACCGCTCTTGATTTCTACTACTGCGATGGGATCACGCGCTATGCATGTATTCCCGTTCCAATGCAAACGTTTTACATCATCAATCCCAAACGTTACATAATCCGAATGCGATGTACTTGCTTAATTAGGACAGAAGGTGCTCTTGTAGGGCCAGGTTTACAGGCCGAATTTACCGGTTCTACGAAATCCATCATCGTTCTCCGTTGATATCCACTAGCTTTATCAACTGAAATATCGCCAGTGACTTTGAACATTTTCGATATTGAGATCTCCCTGATATTTCTGGCAGGTCCTAGAATGAATTCAATCTGCATGCATACAGGCCAAAATGTCTCCGGATTCTCGTCTGTTGATAGGCATAAATTCATGGCTTTGTTCACTACTTTGATTGTTTAGCCTTGCGTGGTCAATTTGTTTCCCTTCTGACTACACATTTTCCTTTTTTATTACAGCAACTCTACACTTTTATGCTGATTTTGCTTGGCCCATCCACTGTAATTTAAGGACAGTTGGTGGACATTTTCCCACAATGCCTTTGGCAAGCAAGCCTAAATGAAACTCAATTGCTAACTTCGCTATCAACCCCTGACTTACCTTAAACCTGTTACTCTTGAAAACAATTTTCTCCCAAGGAGCTCCAATGTGTTAAAGTTCTTTTATTTGGGCATAAAGTAATTTTAAGCTTTATAATCAGTGTCTAATATATTCCCCTATTTACATACTTAATATGCGTTACGACGGTTATTTTCACATATACTCTTTCTCACTTCTTTACAAAGTATTCAAATCTTATATATACGAATAAAAAGTTGATTTCGAAGGATCTCCTTAGATAAGCTTGTTGTGAAAAGATATTCTAATCCAGGGTGAAATCCAGTTTCGACCTCGCCTAGGTCCTATCAACATCCCGAGCAGGGCTCTGACCATGAAAGTGCAGCGTTTAATCACGACACATTAACCACTACGCCACAACAATAGTAAAATGCCACCCAAATCGTATCCTTGACATTCTCTACTTCCGACTTCTGCCAGACATCTTCATCGCCTGTGAATGCTGTATATGTGTATTTATCATCAGGCCGATGAGGATAGAAGCGATCTAGTAATGCTCCCATTATAATAAGAAATTTAAACTCCCTTTCGCCATGAAAACTACTTATATCGTGAATGTTTACGCTTTGCCAAGGCTTGGTCGCATGACCGAATGCTACACTGCAAAGGACCAAGAATATTGCTTTAATATACTGGTTTTATCCCTTAAAAAAGTACGCCACATAAGTGGGAAAAGTTTTGTGTGGTCCATGCATTTTTTGCGAGTTTCCCTTTAACACCTCGTTCATGCTTGACTAAAGTTGGCCAAAATTAAGCAGAATTTTTGAATGATAAGGCAATGATGCGTTAATGCCAACCTTGCATACATCTTTTATAGTTCATGCAACTTTTGTCCACACCACGCTTCCCCGTTCTCGCATCCTCTATCTTTTTACCCCTTATTTACCATACATAACTTACACTTTTATCGCTGAATGCCATGCACAGCTTGATTATGCCCCCTAACTTTC